CACAACTTAAAAGATTTGGAGTCCACACAAAGAAAACTTATTTACAATAATTGTATACGATTTTTTACCTATAAGTTACCTCAGTTGTTAATGTTTGTTACAACTAATTGAATACATTTTTTTATTATTTAGTAATCTAGTTCTTTAACAGTGAAAAAATAGTTAAACCATAAAAATTGTAATTTTGAAAAATTTCCATAAAACTAAGTCAATCCATGGTAAATTTGTGCATACTATTCAATCAATTCATTCAAAATTTGTCAAATTAAAGCGAACAATTTTAATCTTTTTGGTCTCACAAGTATTAGTTCACACTAAAACACATTAAAACACTCCAAAAATATAACGATGTAAACCACATTTTATAACTTTTCTACAAAAATTGTAAAATTTTGTTTACATCCCATAAAACTTCTAACCCAGATCCAGCCCAGGCTCGCCAACCTAACACGAGTTTCTAGTAACAGCTGTGTAAAAATATAAAACCACGACACAAAATAGTCCACTAACAGTAACTCTAGCTATGCTAATATGCACCCTTATTAGTGTGTGGCTATTGGCAACGTGCTGATCCTGCTCAAAGCTTAGAACTAAGTTATCCATACACTGGATTATCCAGGATTAAGCGAGGTTATTTATTTCCACGTATTTTGCACCAATGGTATTTGGTGTAGGGTTGTGTGTAAGTAGAAAATTGAGGATTTGAGTGATTTGACAGATCTCACCTTTTAAAGTGGAAGTGGGCGATTTGCCCTAATAATTGTGAAGAAAGGTTTATTATTAATGGAGGTACAGCTCGTGACATCTAAGCTGGCACTTGGCCTAGCGCGGGAAGTGTAGACGGGAGGAGGGTGGAGGTAGGGAAAAGACCGGACTGCAAACATTTCCACTGCCTCACGGGGTTGACTTCCCTTGCATGTACTTGAGCGCCTTCATATGGGTCGCGAGGACAGTTGATGCAACCTGCATGACAGGACATAATGTTTTTGAAATAGGTACTAGTAGCGATCGGCCTAGTGCCAGCTTAGATGTCACGAGCTGTAAAAAGGAATAACTTTAAAAAAGGAGATTAAACTTATGAAACAAGCTGAATTGGTAGACTGATAAGTTAAACACAATTTCTTGTCAATTTAAGTGTGATGTACCTAGCTTAGATCCGTTACTGAAAAATAAATAAAACTAATAACTGCTAGAAAATAAATTGGAAAATTGGTCATAAAATAGAACGGATGTGATGAAAACTTAAAATAGACAACTTAACTTAGCATATATCTCAGAGATGGCAACAATTAATGCCAATTATTATCATTGACTAAAATAATTTACTGCCTCCCTTGTGGACTTAAAATTTAAATTCTTTAACTTGAGATCATTGCATTTAACAAGTGAAGTGTCCGCTAAAGACAAAAGCAACCTAACAATCTAACATCGGAAGAAAGTGACGATGAGTGGTTTGTTTTTTGGGTGGTGTTCTCGACTTACATTGCAGGATTTTGCAGCGCCTTATTACATATATACATCGAATAAAGCCTCATTTATCTGTAGAAAACTAACTACTAGTAGAGGTATTGATTTGATTTCAGTAATCATTACGCATAGAGTTTACGAGAAATTTTTCTGAATTACGATTTAAATAACCTTATGTGGAGGTTTAATGGAAAAAGCACTTTAGGAAGAACTTTACCTACCTATTGTGCTCTCTTGGTCAGAAGTATTGGTCACAGTGTTGAAATAAAGATCATAGAATTGTTTCGATCAGCTGTTTTTACTCATGCGGCCAGCACCTCTGGTTACCTTTATTAGCTTGGCAGCCATAATGGTGGCTTTTTCACACCACATTGGAATTATTTTATATTTAAGTGGTTGCTCATTAGAAATCACCACTAAGCAGAAATTAAAATAATATTTTTTTTTTACATGTTTAAACTTATGTGGATGGACCTCTAAACGTTTGAAGGTTTCCTTGTTGGACAGTATCACTGAACAAGCAACATAACGAACTGACGTGAAATCTTATCCTCACTCTTGCAAAAGAACAGACTGGCCATCCTAGTTATCAAGATAACCTATAGTCTTACTGATTGCAAAGGTTATGGAAAACGTAATAATAGTCTACATAAAAATCATACCTAAGAAAAGAGTTTAAGGCAGTTAACACCCAAAAAGCTTAGAACACAATTAACTTCCAATCCAAGGGGCTTCTTTAGAAGCAAGTGGTACATTCTACTTCATAGGATTCTACTACTGCTACTGAAGAAGTCCTCTTAGAGGGATAAAATATAAATTGTGCTTTAAACGTTTTGTGTAAATGCTAGGAAATCTTTACTTAGAAGAGTTAGTTTCTTCCTTAATTTACTAAACTTGATGTGTATTTTTTCATAATTCTCTATTTTAATTGATGGCCTTTTAAAAAGTTAGTATGAATGTTGAAACGACAATCATCAAAAATTGTATTTTATAATAAACGATTTTGCTTTGTAATTTACTCTAACAGTCCTTTAAAATTCAGTTACCTTTTTTCAAATCAATATCTACAATATGATAGCTCCGAATTTAGAGAACAAAGAGTAACAAACCTGCCTAGCTTAGTAAGCCGATTTAATATCAATCAACGATTGCAACAAATTTTCAACCCCTAAATTTGGCATTTATATCAGCACAATTACTGAAACCAATTCAATATTTGATGCTCACAAACACTTAAGCATCTCTTACAACTAACTACAAGCTAAGGAACAATGTACAATATACAATATACTATCTAAACAAATTTAACATATTTTGTGCAATAACATTACTGAAGACTTTCTTTCATCCTTGCAAAATTTAGTGTTTATACATTACATAAGGTCACATTCTCTACTAATATTAGTATTGTCCTCATAAATTTCACTGTATCCGTTTTCCAGATGGTTTCTTTTAAAAATTTAACATTAAAACGTGTTATAAATAATGCTTTTTAGCATGTAGATATTTTAAAAAACAACAATAACAATCATAACCAGGCAAATCCAACAAGAACTTATGAATTACTTAACAGCTCAATATCACAACTTGAGGCTCAGGCTAGTTAGAAAATAATTGTAACAATATAACTAGTGTGTTATATTTTAGCTTTTAATTTTCCTCTTCCAATCAACGATTTCATTAGTATTTTTGCAAGCTGCCAAGAATTTTTTGATCAACTCACCAATTTTTGCTCACCATGAATCAAATTATTCGCCAGAGAATTTTTTTAACCCCAAAAAAGGTGTCGAGCACATTAAAATGGAATCATTTCAAACTTTTTTATAACTTTAAAACCTAATTTTTAAAATTTTAATGTTTTTATTTACAACAATTGACTTTAAAGATTGTTTACCTCTAAATTGCCTAAGCCCCACCCTGCTCACATCAAATCACATTCAAGGCACATCAAATACATATCTATCTTCCCTTAATTTATTGCTTTCTTTATGTTTTCAATTTTAAACTACATAATACTCAGGCAAAAATATTTCCTTTCGATTATTATACAGTACATAGTACTCTTGGAATAAACTTTTATTCGGATATTACTGAAGTGTTATTAGTTTTTAAAGTACCGTAGCACAATCTCAAACATTTATATTTTTTGTCATAGTCCACTTAGTATAAATTTCAACCGATTTGACGGTTTAACTATTATTCAAAAGGACTAATTTTCTTTCACTGTTACTGTTCTTTTACTGTCATAACAATGATATATACAAAGAGAACAGAAATGCTGAAAAGTCGACAATCGTAACATTTATGTCATACCTCATGGATTTTATTTTATCTTGTGCAGGAAACACACACACATACACTTATACATCTTATTTAAGAAAATTTATAGTGATTGTACTATTATGATTTTTTATTTATTTTATTGCTAACCATACATTTGCTTTTAAATACAGTTCAAACTTATTTTACCATTGAAAGACAAGACAGTTAAATATGCCTAGTGTGATATTTCAATTGAAAATAGCCTAGCCCATTTTACATTATAGGGATGCATTATACATAATATTAAAATTTATTCTTTAAAAGTGGTTAGGTAAAATTATTTTACGTTTGTTTAAAAAACGTTAAAACGCTCGGTTTCTGATTTTAAACTCAGTTCCCCTATTTTTAACAAACATTTTCACCCAATGACCAGCAAATTGGAAGAATATTGGTAGTTCAAGTATAATTTTTAGTGGAATATATCATCATTGAGTTTTTAAACATATATTTTTTCTGTTTCCTACCTTTATCAGAATGAGTTTGTTTTGTGTGATTTATGTCTAACTTCAGTAGAAAAATTATCTCCAAAAATTAGATACAAGTTTTTAACAGACTAGATAAAAATCAATTTGATTCGGACAGATTGAATTTTGGTATTGTCTTGTTTCGTTAACACTAAAACTTGATGGACGGAAAAGTACCAAATAGATTTAGTGTATTGTCCAGTATAAAAAATTAATTTTTCTTTTCAATTCCTTCATTCCGTAATCTCTTAACTCTGATGGTTATTCTGAATATGTTTATTTAATATTCCGTTATAACATTAATTATTAGTCAACTGACAATTTTTAACAACAGATTTAACAACGTTTACCATACTGTGTATTAATACTAAATAAATTGTAGTTGTATACTAAAGGCGTTGGCTACATACAAACAGAATTTGGCAGTTGGTGTTTAACAAAAATAGTCTTTAACATTTTTAATAACAAATGCTTGATGGTTTTTCAATCAATTATGTTTGATTGTAGAATGGTATAGCCAATGTAAATATTGTACTGTATTTATACATATTTACAATATCCTAAATATGTAGAGCTGATAGTGATCAGCTCTTTAGAAATTTGTTTCCAACCTAAAGAGCAAAAATAAAGAATATTAAGATTGAAATTTCAGGACTTGACTAAGATAAAGAATTTTTCATATACGTTACAGTATTTTAGTCCCAAAAAATAACATGTTTACCAAAGCATTGATATATACTCTAAAACGTTACCTAGACCAATGCATATTAAACTGTTATAAAAATAGATATCCGATTATTTCAAATTCAATTTTCAACACTATGATTGTATAAAAACATAACTAAAACAACTTCAATTTTATGTGCAACTACTTCTAACAAATCCTATAGGTAAATTCATAATACAATATTTTATCTCACAGTGTTTTCAGTATAATTACTAGTAAATGCTTCAATTGGATACATGTGACCAAGTTTAATTTTCATAAATTTAACATTCCGAAAATCTTCGTCACTCCTTACTCTTAACATATTTAACCTTATAAATATGTTGAGCACTACTGTAATATAATTCACCTAAAATGTCTTGTACTCTTAAAATGAATCCAAGATATGTTTTAATCACCTAATGTGGATTATCACTGCAAGAAATCTTAATAAAGTTGTACTTGTAGCATTCACAAAACCTAATGGAAGATGCTGAACTCTCTGCTAGCAGTCATAAGCCATTTTATAATGGAATTATGTTACTATTATATTTTCTATGCATGGTTGTAATACTTTTAAATTTTTTTAGAATAAAAAGACAACAGACTTTTTACTTATTTAAAGGTTATTTTCAGTTATATCAGTAATTTCGTTCCGATGGCTTTCAAACTTAAAATAGGATGTGTTTGCAATGGAGCCTGAGTCATTTTATGATAAAACAGTAAAATTAAAATTTAGAATAGGTTTCCCACAAATTTGGTCTTATGTCCCTTTGTGTTTGGTAAGTACAAAATGTTGATATTCATCTGATTTCACTTGTACTATTCCACAACTGTAATTAATCACCTAAAAATGTTACTACACTGTTTTTCTATTAAAACTGATTTCAAATGTAAAAAAAGATAGTAAATTCTTGGTCTTCAAATCAACTAAAGAGGATTCTTTGAATTAGAATACCTACTTTAAATAGTTTAAGCTATTTTACTACTTTGAACAACAGAGAGAATTCAGCATCGACCAATCTAACCTAAGCAGATTGTCAAAACAAAGTGTACAAATGCGAGTACCGACATAGTTCATGAGTCAAGTTCATGTAGAGGGACGATGGGAGCGCGACGAGGAAAGTTCTGAGGACTCGAAGGAGCGCTCTGAGGTACGAAGTCACGTCTGGACGTGACAGAAGTGACGCTAGACGAGATAGGCGGGTCACGTTCCCGTGAGGATGATCCAGCGACTGCAGTGAGGTCGTAACGAGACCCTGAGCGAGACGAAGGAGCGGATGAGTTAGCCGCGTAGGAAGACAACCCGCCCGGGCCGCTGCGGGGTCTCCGCCCAGTGGAGGGGCCGCTCATGTTGTTCAGACTCATGGACGACCGTGAGTGGGCGGTCGGCGTGGGTGGCAGCATGCGAGGAGACTGGGGCGGCGTTGTCGAAGACTTCCTTCGCAATATTCTGTAAAAGAAAAGATTGTGGTTTCAACTCAATCAAAGTATTCTAAATTCATAGATAGTTGTAAATTGATTGTGCATTTGTTCCAAACTTTCTGGAAGTTCAGATAACCCTTTTGCTGTGCATTTATTTTTGTGCCAACTTCTTGTTCATCATTATTAGAGGTAATGTAATTAAAGTGCTTTCCAGTAAACATGGTTTTTCAAACAGGCTATGAATTAAAAATATATTTTACTCTTGGGGCTAAGTAAGATTATAATCTGTAAAAGTAACCACCTAGTTATTTTCACCAACTACTATAATTATACAACGTTTACAAGTCTCTAAGATCTTAGAAAATATTGGAATGTGGTATTACTTTACAAAAAAATCCTAAATTATACAAAAATAATAGTTTTATATCTATAGGTACGGTATAGTTCATACTTTTTAAAATTATATGTGTTTAAATTACGTTTTTGAAATTTCAAATTACATAAGAAGTTTTTGTTTGTATCCTTGTATAAACATAATGTCTTTTTCAGACAAAAAACTAGAAATAAGATCTCGTCTAGATAATTTGTATCACAAAATACCAACTAAAACCCATTCAGGCGGACAACTTACCTCTTGCTAGGAGAGCGACATAAGCCTGTTGGACAAACCTCGCCGAACGCACACTTTCCTTCACAGAGATCTTTACTCAGCAAGAGTCCTTGATAAGAGTTGAGCAATATCCTGCACTCCTTCTCGTCTCTCTCAGCGAGCGCCCGCGAAGGAAACCTCTCCTTCAGTCTTCTTCTCTCCTGTGACAGGAAAATAATCTTTAAAGTCTTTACATGTAACCAGGAATTTAATATCTGCGGTTCAAAGTCTTTTTACATTATTTTCTGCAAATACAAAGTTCAGTTTGATCACCAATGGCAACCAAGGCCACTGTGGATAAAAACCGTCTAAAACCCGTTATTTTGTCTTTTAAATGACTTGTTGTTTAATGGGCCCAGTAAGCCCGAGCTCAGGGGTGCAAGAGGTTTTATATCTGTTCGGGGCGCAAGGAGAAACAAAATTCCCATGCAAGGAAGGGGGAGGGAAATCCATAGCTATGCAAATATCCAGATTCAATTAAGATTCTTTATTTCCAATAATGTACAATAAATAAAAAAGTGACATATTTTATAAAAGGAAAAATATTCCTCACAAGACTACACGTCTGTGTGTGAGTAAGAGCAAAAACAGCAAGTCACATACAAACTGCAGGCCTTATTGTAACGCTACAGCAAAATTGCAAAATATATTTTTGTGTAGACACTTAATATGCCTAAGATGAGTAATTTCAAGCCCTTGGGAAAGCGTTTCAAACCCATTAAATTGTGTATGCTGGGGGTTAAGCCCATCACCCTCACAATTTTTACATGGCTATATATATGGTGAATTTTTGTTGGTAAAATAAATAACATGTTTTCACAGGAAGGTGAGGAAATTCTGTTCATCATACTAAAGGGAAGGGTTTTACTCTACCAAACTGGTTCATTTAAAACACTAAACAAACCTAGAGCCAAATTCAAAACACTCCTTACTACAAGGTGACGATGGCACAGATTTTTGTCAACAAGGGTTGCTTCTGAATGCACATACCTCAGAAAGTCGGTATATCTCAAACTCTTGCAGCTGTTTCTGAAAACCGAAATTTGGATTTGCCACAGATCGCCCGACCCGGACAACTTTGAGGGCTTCCTTCCAGTTGAGAGACGTCACGCTCATGATGTACGCTACTGCCACGGTCACGCTGCGAGACATGCCTGCCAAACTGCAACAGAATCATATGGTTACAATGTTTACATCCTGAGAAATTAGCGGATTTCTGATAGTTGGAATCTTAAACCCAGCTGTTCAGATTAGGCTTTAAAAACAATAGCCCTGGCTAAGAAACAGCTGATCTTAGTCAGTAACAAAGCTACACATGTCATCTAATTCTATACCCATACTTCATTATCCAGCTTAAAATAAGCACCAATGCGTTTGTCTTAAAGAATTGAAATCCAAGAAGGGACAGGTCCCAGACGAGTCATGTGACTTAAACCTGTGAAGGGATTGAACTAGACACGTCATTCCCTGTTAAGGGTCGATTCACACAGTTCAGTCTCATCAGCCATGTCACAGTAGAAAATTTGTTCTTTATTGATTGGCTTTTCTTTTGAGCTATCTACACTCATCTGGCACAGTTCCAATGCAGGTCCGTCAGTCACTCTGCCGGCGTCCGTCAGTCAATTTCAGATTTCTTTCCACGGTATTTTTGGATTGTTGGAACGCCTAACGCGCTGACGGTCGTGTGATGTGTTTGACACAATTCAATGACATTTTAACCATTTTTTCATGTCAAGCTTATTGTGAGCTGTAGCCATCTGTCTCTTCAACAAACAGTACCATAAAATACATTCCGTTCACAAAATGAAGGTGTTTTGAGAAGTTCCCCCACCACTTTTAGAAATGTATAGACATTTTGACATATTATGTAAAGCAATTCAGCAACTAAATATGAATTATTTGTTGATATGCAGTGTAATTGCATCTAATAACAGTAACATCAGTTCGCATTACAATTGCAATCAAGAAATAAATCATTTTGAGAGCCGATGTATAAAATTAAATGAACGAAATTCACATTTTCTGCAGTATGAAAACATAGTACATCACATCGGTCTAAAAAGGAACCTACCTGGGTTGATATTGAGTTCGTGTCGAAAAAAAGGCTACATACACCCTAGAGATGAACCATACTTTTAAAGGTGTGGCCAATTCTTTAATCTAGTGTACCCCGGTGACAACATTTGACATATTAGGCGGGTCGTGTCCAATATTGGGGATGATCAACTACAGCTGGCTTACGGCCAACCCCTTTGTTTGTAGAGTTCCATTAGTTTTGTTTTCGCTCCGAGCCAGCGCCAAAACGTTGTTTGTTTATTGACGGAAATCCTGAAACCGCCAATAAAACTAGATCAGGTAGCATGTTTCCATAAGGGTTTCAAGTTTCATTATGAATGTTGGGGAAATGCATAATTTAGTAAGAAGAATAAGAATATCTTTATTGTCATTAAATACAAACAAAAGTACAATAGACAACGTCAAAATAAATACAAAATTTCTATGGATTAGGTCAATTGTGTTGAAAGAAAATAAGTTACAACAGGAATTGAAAAGGAAAAAAAACAATGAACTATATATTAGGTATTTGGAATCCTAAAAATTCTTTTACTGAAAAAAAAACTTCTGTCAAGAAGCCAAACAGCCAATTTATTTTTAAATTTATTCTTAGAAGTAGATTTTTGAATTTATTCTTATGTAGTCCATAGTAGACTACATGGAGGAAACTATGGTATAAAAACGTAATTGATAGTGCTTATTAACATTGCAAATTATGATCAACCTTTCTTGATCCTACTTTGCAACGGGGTGAAATCATTGACTTGTAATATACTTTAATCCAATCTATTGTGGAACGAAAAGAAGAGAATGACGTTTCATCTTAATTGTAAATCTACTAGGAAATAGTTAATACATTTCAGAAACGAAAGTCCGCATCAATAGTTTTAAATTAACCATGAAAAGTGAATTAAAAGTTTACAATCATTGAGTCGCTATTTACTGAAATATAACCTATTAAATGTGCGTATCTTAAATTACTTTATTTTCATTTGTCGTTGATATTAAATTATACAAAAGGGTGAATATTACATATAATATAAATACCAATTTTAAAAAATAGCTCGAGCACCGCTTATATCTGGAGACCGACTTTGATGAAGATGACTGCAGTCTTCCACGCCCACACTTCAAGGAATAAAATATTAGCCACTATATATACTGTATAAGCACTGTAAGCAATGTAATCAATATCCATACAATCTGTCACACCAAAGTCAGTAACAAAAATTAAATTAAAATAATTAAGTCAAAATAAAAATTATATTTAATTGAATTTTAAAACTCAATATTTTTACGGTTTCTGTGCAATTTTATACAAACATGTAATTCTTACAAGATTTAAAATGCTGTAAAAACGATTATATTACGTGTAACTTTTTGGATAATAATTCTGAAGGCAAACCTGTATTGTGGCTTTTCCCACTGGGCGAGTGGGATTTGTGAATATTTAAACAGCTGTTTTAACGTGGGCGAAAGCTTTATACTTAAACTTCACATTGAGACTAAAAACTAAGGAAAATGTGGGATAGAAACGAATAATAACAAATTTAGAATAGAGTATGCTCAGAATTATTGTGATTGGGGTAAAATCCCTTATTGGTTTCTGTAGAAAGAGTAAAATGCAGTAGGCGTAGCTACAACGTTTACATTTTGTTTTACCAACATTTTTAAGATGGCTGTTTACTTTCAACTACACTCAGACGAATGCCATAATTTGAAATGCAAAATGTATGTAACATGAATAACAACTTAGCTTTTTTAATAAGTTTAAGTTCGTTTGAGCTTTGAGGCATTCAAGCCGATATAAGACTATGCAAATTTAGCTATAGATTGGTTTCCGTGGAAACAGAAATATAGTTGCAATTTATACATTTGTTTTTCAAAAAATTTTTAAAGTGCTATTTACTTTAAACTACATTCAGATGATTGTCAAAATCAGATATAAAGAAATTGTGCATAGTTTATTAGACAAGTATATGCTGTTCGAAATAAAATAAATGTTCTGTTAACATTGCCAATTGATTTTTTTCTGTAAACCACGTTTTGTAAAACTATGTGGAGAGTTTACTTAATGTTTGATGACCCCACAATTCATTATAGAAAACACAAAAACACATTTTCATTTGCGATAATAACCTGTTTATACAACATATTGGTTTCCATAGGAATACACTTGTAAAGTACAATAAGTAAAAAACGCATTACGCAATAATAAAAAATGTTTTGCAACAGCTTCGTTTCCAAGGAAACATAACTTAACAATTTTGAATTATTTGATTGATTCAATATTATTATTTTTTACTGAAAATATTGTATATTTTGTAAAACTGCGAAGAAAGTGTATTTAATGTCAAACGACACAACCATACATTATATAACGTCTAAAATTATATTTTCATTTGGTATAATAGCTACACCAGATTTGTTTCCATAAAAACAGTAAAAAATTCAAATTTTCTTCATTTCAATTTCACAAAATAGTTTTACAAAAATTATTCTTTATTGTCTAAAACTGTGTTATAAGTCAATATTTTTAAATGATACATTCAAGCTATAAAATATGTAGAATTCGATTATCATTAGTAATTTGAGCTCTATTGTAGGGATTTTAAAGGATTTTATTTACCATTTTAAGATTTGCCCGTTTAAAAACCTTGGATAAAGGTACCTACATAATTTAATACTTATCTCTTACCATCAAATTTTTTAAATTGTGTTTACACTATTAGCATTTATAACGTAATTTTGTAAGGGGTCGGTCCAAACCCATTTGTCTGAATTGATTTTCAACAAAATTTAAATAACATTAGGTTTAACGCGTACATAGGTTTGCTGATACAAGGAAACTATTAAAGCGTGTTTTTGGGTAAAATATTAATAGCTTTGTGTAAGATGAATAAATTTTCCCAAGTTTGATCAAAATATAAAAGCAAGCAAACTTCAAAATTTTACAATATTCTCATTCTCCATAAGAATCACATGGAAATTTTAAATTTACAATAATTTTCTCCTTTACCAATAACCATACAAAAACACGTTGATATTGTAAATTATTTGTTTTTTTAATCTCTAAAGGTCTGGAGAGAAATTAATTGGAAAATTCTATGTTTTGGGTTCAAAAATGAGAAAAACACTATTTTTGCCCCATAAAACCCCGTTCCCATGGTCCGATTATGCTGGTTCGCGAACTCATTTAAGTTTATCCCGCCTTACACCTTTAAACCAAATTTTATCAAAATCGGACGAAAGTTACTTAAGTTTTCGTGGTCACGGACACATATATAACTCCATAATCATAAAATCTAGTTATATTAAAATATTGAACAAATGGTGTTTTGGCCTCTGGGGACATCAAAATGAAAAAGTAAATCGGTCCCGGGCCTAGGTCTTGTGCCACCTACGGTAATAGCTACTTCCCTATAGGGAAATTTGCCTATAAAACACATCAAGTATTACCAACCTATAATCAATTATTATGGAAGGTACAAAAGAGCATGAACGTAAGTGCCCTGTCTTGGCTGCCAGGGTTGGGGGGGAGGGGTTGATGTAGGGGGTGTAAGGAAGGTTAGGGCTCCGACAATCAATAAAAGCCGACCCACGTGCACTCGCAGTAGCCCCCGGCACCGGCTACCAAAAATCACTAACTCACTCTCGATAGCATTAATTATTTATTTTAATTTGTGTGTCTTTGGTATTTTTTACGTTTTCTCTAAGGAGTCCATACCCTTATTTATAGAGCTGGTCTAGGTGATTTACAAATGTCTTGAAAATGCAAATCCTTTTACGGTAGGGGAAAACTACATTTATGGTCATAAATATATACCAAGGATCAATATTTTGTAAACAAATTAAAACTGAAACATTTCAGTCGGCGTTTGCATAATGAAAATCAGCTGTTTGTTAAAAATGATACTGCACTGATACAAACTTATATTAGCGTCAGCTGCTAGACTTTTACAAAATTTAAATTCAATTTCTAAATAGAACAATAGCTGAAATTTTAATTTAGATAATTTTGTGAGAAAGTGAACAGTTATATTTTAATTCTCTTCCTATCATTATCTTTCATTCAATGGAAGAATTATAAAGATCCGTCACGTGATTGATCCAGAGTTTTTGATAAAAAAAGATAAAAAAGGTCCCACGTTTTAGTGTATAGATTATGTGTGTAGGTTATATTACTGTTGAGGCTTTTACTTGTTTCAAATTCTACGTTAAGGCGGTTTTTACAGATATAAAACCATTGTAGAAGATTTTTATTTTGTTTAGTAAATTGCAATTTAGTTTACGATGATAAACCTACGACAGTAAAAAAAGTTGTAATATACAAGCAAAATCTACAACAATCACTGAAACCCTCGATATTATTAAATATATTTTTGTGTATACGGTATGTCTATCAGAAATAAATTATAAAGTACATAGTTGACTTATATAGATCTTCATAATTGACTTTATGTTTCTTTTGAATGACAGGAAATGTCCTTATAAAAATATAAACCAGTGTTATCTGAACATAATTTTACTTAATTGCCTAGAGGGATTCCTGTTTCTTGGCTACAGTGGCTGTCAGTTGACAGACATGAAGGGTTGAACGTAGCTTCGGGCCTGTCTTTGTACAGGGAAGCATAAAGGAATTCCAGCTGTCATCGATAGTGACGTCATAAGCTCGGAAATATTTGACGAAAAACAATGTATTTAGGCTACATTTTTTACTTTCTCTCCCTATACATAATGTATGGGAAAGTATTGTTTTCGTAAAGATTTTCGAGTTTGAGTTTTGGGTGGGAATATCTTTTTTGGATCCCCCCTGAACTAAACCTAGACAAGTGGTTTTCGTGTATGGCAAAGTGATGTCTGTGTGTTTGGATTTGTACAGAGCTACAGACCACACCTGGGGCGTCCGGTTTTGATGACATTTGGTATGTGGATACTAATTTACGTCTCTATGCGTTTCTTTTTTAATTTTCGTGAAATGATGATTTTTTTATGCTTCCCCATAAAACCCATAAAATGCCAAAACGGAAAACTCAGATTTTCACTAAAAAGGCTTGAACAATTTAAGTAGAAATTTGTTATGTTATAGTCCTTTTAAATCCTAAAAAGTGGTACAACCTTCATTGCTATACTGTAACAACTTTTGTGCAACTATTGTGATTTTCCCAATATTATATGTAATTACTCATATCACTTGCCCTTGGATAAGGGTTGTAGACAAGGTAATGGGAGAAGTTATGTACCAGATTGGTGATACCGTTTATCTAAATTCGTACTAAAAGGTAACAACTTTTTATTAGCTCAGAAATTAACTTCCGTGTACGATATAATATTCTGTAATCGAATGTATGTGATAAATGGTACATTTTGAACTTAACCTTTTTTGAGCTCGGATTCAAGTAGAACAAAATTTGGCAACAGTAATAGCGTACGTGCCTCGATGTAACCACAGTTATTCAGGAAACGCCACCCTGTGAAATAAGCCACCCTTGACTGAAAGATAACCGATTGTGAATGTGTTAACTAAAAGTGCGTACACAAATGAATTTTAGTTTATAGTTTCTACTACAGCTATTTAATGTTAAAATACCTCCGCCGCAGCAAACCTGCAGACTAAGCGAATTTCCATTTGCTTGATTGGATTTACACAAAAATTTCTCCTTAAAAATATCACATTTATTCCCTATTTAAATAACATTAATTTAACAAATACTTAGTTTTGCTGCAACAGGGAGGGTAAAAATGGGTTTTTTTGTAAAATGTTAAAAGTTTAGAATGAAATGAATGCATTTTCCAAATTTGATCAAAATATGCTCAAAATATATATTTTAAGCTCTACAAAATGGTTTGGAAAGAAAATGTTAAATTTTAAGTTTTTAGGGTTAAAAATGGGAAAACCAATTTTTACCCCATAAAACCCCCCCATAAACACCTGTTCCCATAGTCGGATCATGCTGGTTCGCGAACTCGTTCGAATAAACGTAGGTTTACACGTTTGTACAAAATTGCATCAAAATCGGATGAGTTTTGCTCGGGTTATCGCGCTAACGGACACATATATAAATATATATATATGAATTTGAACGGATGGTGTTTTTGGCCTCTAGGGACCTCAAAACGAAAAAGTAAATCGGTCCCGGGTCCAGGTCTTACCATGAGTACTACGGTAATAGCTTATTCCCTATATGGGAAATTCGCTAAAAAAAACTGCATCCTGTTGTAATATCAAAAGCATTTTCTGTGTTTCATCATTCCAAAAAAGTTCACTCCAGTACTCAACCAAGTACAACTTTTATCGGCATAATATATTTTGCATTATAATATGTCCTCTGTGCGTTCAAGAACTAAGCGCATTATGCAAGATTAGCACTTTCAGTGGTTTTGAGGCGCTTATTTCAACTTAATGCTTCCCTCTAGTTTTCGGGTAAAATTTACATGGCGCTCTCAGATGACAGAATGGAATAAGTAACAGTGTACAAAAACTCATTCCATTTGGTAGTAGTTATTTTTAATTTAGTAGACAAAACAAATAAATGAAAATATACAAAACTTTCTCTTTATTAATCAGACTGAAAGTGCTTTTTTTAGTTTCCATGTGTTGTTATTTTTAAAACAATACATAGAAAAAAGTGTTACAGTATTTTTGCACTTTAGGGTAATTTAATAACACGTACGATGATGATCAATAAGTTGTCTTGTTATTTTATGAACTTTAAAAATTTATTTAAACGAAATATAATAGTTGATCTTTGAAATATCTGCTATTACAATCAAAGAGCACACGTTTTGTAGTATTTATCTTAAAATTTATAGAATCATTTAATCGACATCAAAAGTCTCCATGTTTATAGAGCATGAAATGCATATCATTATTTTAGGTTTGTATTAGGATGGGAATTTTAATTAATTGTTGCATCTTAAGTCAAATTGCTCTGAGTTTGTATTTCCTACTCTGTGTATAATCAATGCTTATAGTCAGTCTAACTACAGTAACATCCATAATCCTGGCTCTCACAAAAGCAGCATACAAATTGTCTATATGGATAGGACAATAACTGAAGCAAACACCTATACAGGCCTTCTTACTGTACATTCAACTAATTATTAACATTTCCCATATTACGGCAAAGACATCTCTTCCCATATGAAACACTTAGCTAAGATACTTAGCCTACAGTAAACAAAAGATTCTTCGTGCTGCTGTTACGTTTTACGATTTCTGCAGCAATTAAAACACAACTGAGAACTACTCGACCGTATTCTCGAGCAAAAAAAAAAAAAACGAATTGCTGAATGAGTTGGAACTCATTTATCTCAGTGCGGTAGTTAAATAAATGGAGTAGCCTATTATCTGATCGATGGACATAATGAGCCACGATTTTCCCCCTCATTATCCTGTCATTCGACCCTTAAAAATCGCACCCTCATCACCCCAGGCTAGCGAGTACATGTTGACAGTGTCGTGTAAATCGCAACATATTGAAACATGTAGCTGATGCTAAGTGTATTATCATGTGACTTTTGATTGGGCGATATTCAAATTGACATACATGATCACTGTTTCCACTTACACGGTTGTTTGAAATAATTGAGAGCATTAAAAATTATCTACAGATTGAATGAATAATTTGAATTGCTGAGAAATTGTAGTGTTTACTTAAGGGCGAGTTGTGAGTAATTTTCTTCATTTAAATTTAAATCGTACAAAGGGCGTAACGGAATTGCATAATTCTAATAACTGTGGGACTTACTGACCTATCATGGGGTTCTAAATAGGTGGGGCGATTCGAACATTGATGCAGCTTTGAAGTTTTCCAGACAACGAAAATTCGAAGAGAAACTTGTAATGTAAAAAACGAGGTACATATATCTGTGTAATCTATCTATCTATATATTAATAGGCAAGCATGTTTCTTTAAAACCTTTTTTCTCAGCTCGTGTGAATCGTAGGGAAAATCTACGCATACCGTTGGAAAGCTATTTTCCTGTAGGTGTGCAGAATCCCTTTATAAATTTAAATAGGCTCAAAGATAAGCACAAAAAATGAGTTTAAAAATTTGAAAAAATTAACATGGATCTTATGCGTTGCTATGCTGGTTACGAAATAACAACGAAATATAAACAGAAAATCAAAACAAATGGAGGAAACTCCAATCACATGTTTTATTTACAGTGTGGGGTGAAAATAGATAAGTGAGTACATTACATATTTTTGGTCGAGTTTCGACCACTGGACGACCTCTCGTATTATTTAAACGTATACATTTCACAACACATTATAAAAAATATCCACTTACCAATGAATAAGGACGTTGCCACCACGGAGTCGTGCCGCGTGGATAAAGTCGTTACATAGAGGAAAGTATTGTGTAAGGTTCTGGTCCGGGGTGTCCGCCGCCATCACACACAGGTAGTGTTTGTCCTGCAACACACATAGAGTAATGAAGTGTTACATAGAGGAAGTATTGTGTAAGGTTCTGGTCCGGGGTGTCCGCCGCCATCACACACAGGTAGTGTTTGTCCTGCAACACACAGAGTAATGAAGTGTTACATAGAGTAAGTATTGGGTAAGGTTCTGGTCCGGGGTGTCCGCCGCCATCACACACAGGTAGTGTTTGTCCTGCAACATACATAGAGTAATGACGTGTTACATAGAGGAAGTATTGTGTAAGGTTCTGGTCCGGGGTGTCCGCCGCCATCACACACAGGTAGTGTTTGTCCTGCAACATACATAGAGTAATGACGTGTTACATAGAGGAAATATTGTGTAAGGTTCAGGTCCGGGGTGTCCGCCGCCATCACACACAGATAGTGTTTGTCCTGTAACACACATAGAGTAATGAAGTGTTACATAGAGGAAGTATTGTGTAAGGTTCTGGTCCGGGGTGTCCGCCGCCATCACACACAGGTAGTGTTTGTCCTGCAACACACATAGAGTAATGAAGTGTTACATAGAGGAGGTATTGTGTAAGGTTCTGGTCCGGGGTGTCCTTCGCCATCACACACAGGTAGTGTTTGTCCTGCAACACACATAGAGTAATGAAGTGTTACATAGAGGAAAGTATTGTGTAAGGTTCTTGTCCGGGGTGTCCGCCACCATCACACACATGTAGTGTTTGTCCTGGAACACCCATAGAGTAATGAAGTGTTACATAGAGGAAAGTATTGTGTAAGGTTCTTGTCCGGGGTGTCCGCCACCATCACACACATGTAGTGTTTGTCCTGGAACACCCATAGAGTAATGAAGTGTTACATAGAGGAAAGTATTGTGTAATGTTCTGATCTGGGGTGTCCGCCGCCATCACACACAGGTAGTGTTTGTCCTGCAACACACATAGAGTAATGAAGTGTTACATAGAGGAAAGTATTGTGTAAGGTTCTTGTCCGGGGTGTCCGCCACCATCACACACATGTAGTGTTTGTCCTGGAACACCCATAGAGTAATGAAGTGTTACATAGAGGAAAGTATTGTGTAATGTTCTGATCTGGGGTGTCCGCCACCATCACACACATGTAGTGTTTGTCCTGGAACACCCATAGAGTAATGAAGTGTTGCATAGAGGAAAGTATTGTGTAATGTTCTGATCTGGGGTGTCCGCCACCATCACACACATGTAGTGTTTGTCCTGGAACACCCATAGAGTAATGAAGTGTTACATAGAGGAAAGTATTGTGTAATGTTCTGATCTGGGGTGTCCGCCACCATCACACACATGTAGTGTTTGTCCTGGAACACCCATAGAGTAATGAAGTGTTGCATAGAGGAAGTATTGTGTAAGGTTCTGGTCCGGGGTGTCCGCCACCATCACACACAGGTAGTGTTTGTCCTGCAACATACATAGAGTAATGAAGTGTTACATAGAGGAAGTATTGTGTAAGGTTCTGGTCCGGGGTGTCCGCCGCCATCACACACAGGTAGTGTTTGTCCTGCAACACACATAGAGTAATGAAGTGTTACATAGAGGAAAATATTGTGTAAGGTTCTGGTCCTGGCCTTAATCAATGACCCTGGTAAAATAACGAGCTTTTTTCAGTGACAAAGCTGTCATCTCTAACTCTCATGCTATCTTTACTCAACGTCACCTTCCCCCTCGTCTTGATGCTAGAGAGATGGATCTAATCTAATCCTAAAATAATTATGGCTCATCCTCAGAAAATGTTTGCTAAAAAGATAAATGCAGTGTAGAATGTTGGTAATTCTGTAGATTTCCGTAGCTCACCATAATGTTATTGAGGTGAGCCACTGCTTATCTACAGTGTAATAGCAATAGCATTTAGTATTAGATACTGGAGAAGTTACTCGTGTCTTAGGAGGCCACAACAGTTAAAACAAAAGGGTAGATTAAGCCAGGCCACTTGAATATCCTGTATACAGAGTCAATGGTAATAGTCTGTACCTAAATTACCTCTGCTAAAATCTACTTGATGTTGAATTTAATAAGTTTTACTGTTCAATGTGTTTTGCGACGTTCTGTTGCAGACAAGAATCGTTTCTGTTAAAGTACAGCTTCGAACTAACTTTAAGAAGTCTGTGATTACCGTTTACCTTTAACTGAAATGCAATTCTTCATCTTCAAAATTGTCGATAAAATAGTACTTTTGAGTAAACCGATAAAATAAATAGGTAAGAAACACATCGTTGAGAAGAAAGTGCTAATCGAACATTTAGAGAGAATTAATTTGGTGACAATTGATTAGTACATTTAGTTTTTTCGCATACTTAATGTAAATAAATGGTATCCTCAGCAATCTGACACTTTCAATCTTTCTCCCATAAGCTTGTCAACAACCTTTATCATGGGTAAACGGTGGGAGTAACTATGATAATTTTGTCACAATAATAACAAAAGTTGCAATATCTTTTGAACCGTAATTGTTACAGTAATGGGGGATGCATTATTTTGTTTAGAATTATAAGGTCCATAACATAAATTTTAATCAAAACCGGGGGTTTTTCAAAATCCGATTTTTGTAACTTTATGGTATTTTTATAGGAAAATAACCTAAGTTACAAAAACCTATAAGCCGTATTTTTTAACGAAATGGGATTTGTACCATTTTGTTCAGAATCTAAATGACTATAATATACTAAATCTTTTTCAAAATCGTTCGGGCCATTTTCTAGAAAATCTGATCTTTCCCTTACGTTATGGGTTTTTATATAAAAATCCCCTTAAAAATCAAAATTTCAAAACAATGAAAAAATGCCGGGAGATACCATGGATTAGTACATATATACCAAAATTAATCAAAATCGGACTACCGGTGTAGTCTGTAGCTCTGTACACATCCACACATACAGAGACATCACTTCGAAGACCACTTTTTTGGGTTCAGGGGGGGGGGCAAAATAAATATATCCATTCAAAATTCAAACTCTAAAATGTTGACGAAAATACTACTTTCTCCGTATACTATGTATAGGAGGAGAAAGTAAAAATATATTTTATAACAATCAGCACTAACTTGGCCCAGATACAAAAGCTAACTTATTAATGTTATAAGTATACAGGGTGAATTTTAAATGAGTTCCCCCCCTACTTTTTTCTACATTTCTTAAGATATCATCTCCGGACCACGTCAGAACATTGTTGAGTAGTAAGTACTTCATTTTGACCGGGTATACATTTTTGGCCACCATCTTGGATCCGCCATATTGGATACAAAGTTTTTTTTTCAAATGTAAAGGTAGGGTTGTGACCCATTATTTCAAACTAGAATTTTACGCTGATTACAATGCCGCAATTAGTTTTTAAAAATCTTGATCAGTTCTAAAGTTATGAGGACTTTTAATAACTTTATTTTTAGCGCATTTTAACATTGTGCATCAACAAACTAAGACCATAATCTCAAAATAGTGCTAGATAAAGATAAGTATACACCACCATCATTGTCGACATATTTTCACTTGGTTATGACGGATGTAGTTTTTTCAGCCGCCATCTTGGATCCGCCATTTTGAAATGTGACCAATTAATTTAAATATGAAGGTGGTGTTGTGATCCATCATTTTGAGCTACTTTTTTATGCTGAACTCAATGCCGCAATCCGTTTTTCATTTGCATCTTTGGATTTTGAAATATTGAAATTTTAAATAAGAGTATTTTAATATTTCATCAAGAAAGCTTGATAACCAAAAACGGATTGCAGTATTGAGTCCAGAATAGAAAAGTAGTTCAAAATGATGGGTCACAACACCACCTTCATATTTAAATTAATTGATCACATTTCAAAATGGCGGATCCAAGATGGCGGCTGAAAAAACTACATCCGTCATAACCAAGTGAAAATATGTCGACAATGAATGGTTGTGTATACTTATCTTTATCTAGCCTTATTTTGAGATTATGGTCTTAGTTTGTTAATGCACAATGTTAAAATGCGCTAAAAATAAAGTTATAAAAAGTCCTCATAACTTTAGAACGAATCAAGATTTGTAAAAACTAATTGCGGCATTGTAATCAGCGTAAAATTCTAGTTTGAAATAATGGGTCACAACCCTACCTTTACATTTGAAAAAAAAAACTTTGTATCCAATATGGCGGATCCAAGATGGCGGCCAAAAATGTATACCCGGTCAAAATGAAGTACTTACTACTCAACAATGATCTGACGTGGTCCGGAGATGATATCTTAAGAAATGTAGAAAAAAGTAGGGGGGGAACTCATTTAAAATTCACCCTGTATAAATAAAACTACCAAATACATGAACTAAATTCAATCCTATGAATTCAGTGAAACCATAGATTTTGGCTTTTGCAAGTCGATTTCTTGTTCAATAGAATAGCATGAATACTGTTATAATATGCGTTTCTTTCAGGTCCGGTAAGTGTAGAGTGCGTTAATGCAGAAAACGTGTTTTCCGCTTATTCAAGGGTAGACTTTACAGCTTACACAATAGACTTTGGTTGTTATGCCATTAGATAAGTTAAAGTTAACAAATATTAGGCAAAACAGCAAGAAATGAATAGTAAATATGAAAATACATTTTACGCCTACTAGACAGAGATACGATGAAAAATGTCTTCCGCCAATAATAAAGATGCCAAAACTACAAGGGAGTAATTTATGGTGAAACCTTGAATACATTTTCATTCACTTGCTTATTCTCTTTATCATTCTATAGGTACTCAAGGTGTAAGCGTTGTGTAAGCGAGCGGAGCGAACTGGTTTATATTAGTGGATAGAGCGCGGGTCTTCGGTTCCCGAGGTTCCTCGGTTCAAATCCCGCCAAATCACCAATGGATTTCATCTAAGTGATAATGCCTCAACCCCTAGGTCTAGCCAAAGTAATGTAAAAAACAATCCCAGGCTCGTGCCTAGCGTCTTAGAGCAAAAAAATGTGTAGCCTAAGTGAAACACAATTTTGAAACTCCCAATTACTTCTGAATATGTTGATAAAATATTTTTACTACGAACAAG